TCCATTAAATTAACTTTTAAATTAGATGTTAAATACCAACTCATCTCAAGCGTGATTACAAACTAATATATATTTTAAATACCCTCAATCATTTGATAATCAAGGTTCAATCACCTTGCTGCAACTAATGGTGCTCAAACACATGATCTCTATGAACAATAACGATTCATTTAATTACTGAGATAAGTTGATTCGCGTAGCTTGAATTAAATTTTAAATATATTTAAAATCCTAAATTAAGAATCAACCTTGAATCGTTATCCATACATATACATGCTTGAAATTGGTCTATGTATGTAAAATACGATTTAATATATACTGATACTTCTAATCAAAATGTCTAGAGTTCTATGACCAATTTAAACGTAAGGGTATAGTTTAGGGACGTATTTGAAGAGTTAACCCATAAAATTTTAAATCTCTTTTAAGTGCACGTGCTTTCACTTCCGTCTACTTGTCTCCTAGTGGAAAATTTTGCATTTCAGAACCTACATTGCACTTTTAAGGGCGTTTGTACGGGGGAATGAAATTAATATTTTTTCATTCGGTTAGTTTGATAATTTTATTTTCGGTAATATAAGATTTTTAGTAGTTGATTTTTTGAAGTATATTATTAGGAATGTCATTATCTCTCTTTTCTTATGTATTGTTGGATTACTGGTATTTTAGACTAAAATGCCCTTAAATTTTTCCCCTAAAAATATTATTATTCTGTTATTAAATAATAAAAAATATACGAAGGTTAAATTATAAATTTATCCTTAAATTATTTTAGATTTACAAAAAAAATCTATAATTAAAATTTTATATAAAATTCAGGGGTAAAATAAAATTTTACCATTCTATTAAACCTTTTTATATTTTTAATTTTATAAATAAAAAATTATATAAATTGTATGAATTTAAAAATTTTTAAAAAAATATATAAATATTTTCCAACTTGTTAAAAAATAAATATATAATAAGGACAATTTGTTCAAATATACATTTCAATAATCTTTTATTCCTTTAACCAAACACGGTAATCTTACATTCATGCTAAGCCAACCAAACACAAAATACAACATTCTCAGTAATCCTATTTTCTGGTAATCTCATATTCCGTGAACCAAACGTACCCTTATGAAAGCTGGAAATGAAAATTGCACAACAAATAGTAAAAATTAAATGTAGTTGTTGGACAAATTACGAATAAAGTGATAGAGTTAATTGAATTTGGAAATCATTTAAATATTGTAACTTAGTTTGATATATGTAACTTTTAAAAAAATATATGATAAATTTAATTAACTCACTCAATTTAAAATTTAATCTGAATTTAAACTTGATAACTTATATGTAATACTATATAATTGTTAGAAATGAATTGAAGCATTAGAGGCAAGTAGTGGGCAAGGGCAAGGGCAAGGGCAACAGAAGGAACAGGCAAAGGGCAGCTTCCCCAATGATGAAAAGGGAAATAGGAGACTAGGAGTAGGGCATTCAGAAGGATGGGACGTACCCCATAAATGAAGAAAAATATTGAAGAACCCTAAGTGTAGGGTACCCCGCACCCAGTTTTCTCTGCTACATCTCATGTAGGACAGGCAGGTTGATGTCACAGTTCTAGCCCTATCTTTAACCTACTCACCGATTGTTCCTTTTGCATACTAGCTTCCCCTTCCTAGCCTCCATTAGATTGGACGAACCACTGGTCTATACAAAACGGCATCTCTATCATCACCGTCCAATTCCCCCGAATCCAACGGAGAATTAAGCCTACATGATATGAGGTGATGATATATGCAAGAGAAAGATAGGCTGTTTGCGGTACAAGATGGGGGAGATGCGGTGGCTGGCTTTTTCTTTATCTCTTGTCTTCCCTTCAATGTTACTGAGGTTGTATTGGAAATCGGGAAAAAGAGGAGAGTTTGAAAATCAAGGAATTGCGTGGCGGTCGGCTTGGAATGCGGGCGGTAGTTCCTGGGAGAAACCGGTTCCTGCTGACCTCATACTCTCCAGTCCGGAACTCTGTTCTATGAATTCACATCAAATCAATGCCCTCCACTTAATCTTTTTTTTTTGTTCTTTTTTCCAAAATAATACTCTATTTGTTTATTGCCAAAATTATTTGTTTTTCTTTTTAAAATTAATCAAGACTATAAATATTATTTTCTTTATCTCATAATTTACGTATAATATTATTTATACAAGCAGTCTTATGATATATATTCAATTAAATTAAATAATAAAATTATATTTAAAAATTAATTAATAGATTTGATAAATTTATTTTAATAAATGTATACAAGTAAAATTTATAAAAATAAAAAAATATAAATATTATTATCTATTGATTTTTCTAATAAAATATTTTGAATCAAATCATTTTAAAAACAAAAGAAAAACATCTAGTATGATAAAAATAATATAATTAATATTAAGTAATTTTTTTGTTAGTAATATTGTATTTAACTTATATTGTTCTTTTATTTTCGTATAATTAAATATCACAATTATATGTAAATTAAGAAAATGTCAACCGATTAATGTGATTTTTAAAAGTTTTAATACCAGTTCTCAAATTTCATTATACCCTGTAAATGAATCGAACACACACAAACGGATATATGTTTATGTTCGTTTATTTAATAAATAAATGAACATAAACAAATACGAACATAAACGAACAAAATTTTTTTTGTTCATGTTCGTTCATTAAGGAATATAGCTTGTTCATATTCGTTCATTTAATAAATAAACTAACATAAACGAACACGAACATAAACGTTGGAGACCCTACCTTCTATTGTTCTTTCATGAAAAATAGTCGACAATGCAAATCAACCAAATCTACAGTGATAAATAGCGTAAAAGCTAATTAGCAGTGATGAAATGTTTGAAGATATCAGATATTTCGATCGATCTTTTAAAGATATTAAATAATTCACAAGACTTTATTTTAACGCTATAACATTTATATTAGTGGCCCATGATTACATATGAATAATCATTTTTCACTACGCTGACTAAAATATTTGTGACATCAATGTCAAACTTTAGTGATATTTGTTAATAATAATCATTTTCGTTGGCAAAGTAGAAAATTTAACAACATGAAGATTTCGAACGGTACAAATTGGACTACAAGGCAATAACATAGATCCGAAATCCCTCCGATGCTACATATCGTAACTGATATTATTGTTAAATCACCATTCAAAATTTTAACGTACCTAAAGTCTACTCCACAACTAAGGTCACACAAGAACTATGAAAACAAAAGTTCATTGTCAAAGTGTATTTTTTACTTATTAATAGGTTCTTTCTGGAAAACCCATTACTTCCGCTATTACACTATTTTTCAGAAATTGCATAGAAACCTTTGTTTTGTGGCAAATTCTATATATTTTTCTTTTTACTGATGCTCATATACTTTCGATTGTTACCCATAGCTTTCCATCTATTTCTAGAAAGAAGTATGATGTTTTCTTGAGTGTTAGATGTGAAGATACCTGTAATAACTTTACATATCAACTATTAAGCTAAATAAAACAGAAAAAGAGATGAAAACATACATGTAAAACTTCAAATTGTACTCCGATCGTCTCTACTTTCCAGTGAACACTAGGGTTTAGGGAAAAAAAAGGGAAAATGAATATAGGTGCGAAGTACCTCACGAGTTAACATATTGGATTTAATCTCCAAATAAAATTGGGTTAATTATGGAGTTGGTCATCAAAATATCATATTAATTAATATTTTTAAGATACTTACAAATTGGTCACCAAAATTGGTTTAAGAAAATTGAGTTAAACATAAATGAACGAACATAAACGAACATAACCGAACGAACATAACCGAACGTTCACGAATGTAAATGAACGAACGAGACCTATGTTCGTGTTCGTTCATTTAATTAAACGAACACAAAATCTTGTTAATGTTCGTTCATTTAATAAATAAACGCATATAAACGAACTTCCCGCCACACGGTCATGAACGATTCGCTGAACGTTCAGTTCATTTACAAACCTATTCAATAACAAGTGATTATTATAAGTTTTAATAATATTAATGATTTAAATTAAGATGATAAAATTAAAATAACAAATTAAATGTTTGAATTAGTATTATAGGCTGACAAATTTTATAAATGCAGACACCATTAAAGATAGTATATATATATATAATTGCTTAGCAAATAAAATAAATAAATTCGTGTATATCAAATGCATGCTTTTTCCTTCTATAAAGTAGAGATTTTATTATTCTTTTATTAATATTTTTTTTAAAATTTAGGGTTATATTAACAAATTTTGATATTGTACTTATTTGAATTTTACTGTTATTAAACAAAAGTTTTTTATTTGCAAAAAAAAAAGAATTTTATTAAGAAAATTAAATAAAAAAGGAGCTGTTACAAGGTTGCATTATTAAAGGTAGAAAATCTTAGTCTAAAAAGAATGATTACTTTTGGTAATTAACCTAATCAAGGCTGGTTCATCTAAAACCCGCCCCACGTAGTTTAGCTTTAACTTTTAAGCATGAAAAATTAGGTTCAAAGCGGACCCTACCAGGGGACATAAGAATTCAATTGTTGAAGATTCACCATCTTTCAATTCAAAACACAAATTTATCCTTCTTTTTCCACAATTATTGTTCCTCTCAAAGGTTTTTCCCCCCTTTTCTAATCAGTGTTTTTCTTACTGGAAAATTACCCACCTTGACAAGATCTTTTTTACGTTCATGTGTTTGAGAGATCCATCAGCTTAATAACCCAAAAGATATCTTGAAAGAGGTAACCTTTCATGGAAAAAATATATTGTTTTGCTTTATTTAAAAAGTTAACTATGACTCCATTTCAATGGAGTTAGGCTAGCTGCTGGTTCTTTTTCTTGGTTGGTGGATGTTGAGTTTATCCTTTTTCCTTTTCTTTTTATTCTTATTTTATTGCTTATTATTGAAGCATTTTCTACATACATATATGAAGTTCGTCGAAAAATATAAGCAAAAGATTCTCTAGTATTGATGTTGTTTTATTAGATCTAAGCTTCAAAAAAGTTGGGTGTTTATCAGTAGAGCTTGTAACTGATAAGAACCCTGAGTTTCGTTGGCTTTGAGAAATTAGGGTTTATGTTCCACAGGTTGACGTGAAGCTTATGATTGTCATTTACTTGTACTTTTAGCAGTCTAGGCGTTAGCTGATTTGAAAAAAAGAACTCTGTAACTTTCTTTCACCACTGTGCTTTCTCTCTCTCTCTTTCCTTTCAGTCTGATCTCTGTGTTCCCTTTGTTTTTTTCTTCTGTTTTATATTCGTTGTTTTTTGTTTTGTTTTGTTTTATAATTTATACCCTCCTGATCGTTGAACTTTTGTTAAAAGCTAGCCTTGCATGCGTTTGGTTATGGATACGAGCAAGTTTAAACCCGAACGGCATATAGCACAACAAAGCCGACGAGATAAGTTGAGGATCAACCAGTTGGAGGATTTCCCCAACGGTTTGGAGCAAGGTTCCTCGGTTCATTCGGGGCCGAACCCAGATCTTGTTCAAGTTCGTAACGATAGGAACGCTAATTTGCTTTACGACCCAACTGCTGTTTCTTCAGGTTTCATCCATGTTCATCCATGCTCTAAAGCCTCTGGTGACCTACAAAGTTGTGGTGATTTGATGGTGGGTTATTCAAGGGGATTAGCCGGTACAGAAAACGATCAAAACCCTATGCTTGTTGGGGAAGTGTTGTCAAGTAGTGCAAGGGAAAGCAACATATGTGCAGTTATGCAGTATCCCGTGACTGAAATTTGCAGCCATGACAGCAAAAGGCATTGTGGGGAACTGCAGTTCGTTTCATCTGCACTTTATGACGTTGTTAATACACCATCTGTGGGTACTCAGGGACCAGAAATGGCTTCTATAGCACATCAAGCAAGTGCTTTGCATTTTGATAACGCTGGTGCTTGGACGAGTAGGTCCCTCTTAGAGCATTGTCCACAGTGGGGTGATGCTTCTAATACTACCCAAGGGCTATCTCTAACTCTTTCGTCGAACCCCGAATCAAAAAATCGTGGTTCGGCTCAATTCACAGAGGATCAGTGTGGTTTTCATGCCTTTAATTCGTTTCCGAAGCCGTCTATAATCAGTAAAGGTAGTGGAAGTTCGACGTGCGTACACCCTCTCGGTCCATTCACCGGATATGCAACTATTCTTAAGAATTCAAAGTTTCTTAAACCGGCACAAGAACTGTTGGATCAATACTGCCATATGACCAATTCAAAGCTGGGTAAAGTTTGTGTGACATCGGAGGGTGCCTTCGATGGCGTCGGCTATTCAGCCTCGGCTGATACTGCCAATGCAACTGATATTGCTGATGGAGCTATTAAGGAAAATATATCGGTGGCTTCTGTCTCCGGTCTTTGCAGCTCTAATGAAATTAGTACAGCTGATGTTGGCATTTGGAGCGGCTCTTGTAGGCCTGACTATCAACAGAAGAAGGCAAAGCTTTTATATCTGCAGGAGGAGGTTGGTTATCAATTTTCTTTTCGCATTTATATGTTCTCTTTCATTCAACTATTATCTGCATCTTTATTAATGAACATTTATGACAGTGTCGGATGTGCTAAGCCCCATAGGGGCAAGTAGTGGTTAAATTTAGCTTAATGGGTTAGGAAAAAAGAAAAAAAAATTACAATTTTTGTATACCCATTATTTTTAAGAATAGAAAATTAAAATTTTAGACCCACATTTTTTAATTTTTGGATATGCCACTGAAGAATTACATCCTGTGTGCTTTTTATCTGTACATTTTCTTGCTGTTACTTGGACCTTTACATTGACGCGAAATTGAGCGAGTTCTTATAACTAAGAGCTGATGATGAATGAAGTTTATCCGACTTAGCAATTGTTCAATGAAATTTATGTCATCTTTTTGCCTTTGTATACCATCAAATCGAAGTTACATTTCGATTAATGGTACGGATCGGCCACAAATTCAAAGCTACTTTGTTTTAAAGATTCAACCATAATAAGTTGTCCTCTTGCCTTGGCCAAAGGCTCCATTGTAGGTTGAAAATAACAGGCTATGCATATCTGCATTGTTATTGGTGTTACTAAATTGGGCAACTTTTTTTTTATCAAAAAGTGAATACTACAGTGAAATTTCTGTTCTTCTATTATTTATTTTGGACCTAATCCAAATAGAGTATCATTATTCGTCGAGATAGGTGATTCTGTTCTTTGTTTTATCATTTTACTGTTAAGTAATGCTAGTTGATTAACTCTAATGAGGACTTGCATATGCTGTGCCATTGAAAGGTTTGCAGACGATACAAACTATACTATCAGCAGATTCAAATGGTGGTTTCTTCTTTTGAATCCGTAGCTGGTCTTAGTGCTGCCACTCCCTATATTTCCTTGGCTCTTAAGACAGTAGAGCGGAACTTTTGGCACCTAAGGAACGCTATCTCGGACCATGTCAAGCACTTATCGAAAGCCCTGGGGGAGGATTTATTGTCCCCAACTACCGGTGCTAGCAATAGCAAAGGTGACATGAATGTATCCAGACTGAAGTACGTGCTTAAGAAATCTGGTGGGGTTAACCCGGGCTTCCATGAACCCCAACAACAAGGCTGGAGGCCCCAAAGAGGCCTACCAGAATGTGCGGTGGCAATCCTTAGAGCTTGGCTCTTTGAACATTTTCTTCATCCGTTAGTCCACTGTTCTTCCTTTTCAATTTCGTATGTCCTCTCAAATATGTAATTTGGTGTGAATTTGTGTATCTTCTTTTCTTATAGGTACCCCACAGATACGGATAAGCATATGCTGGCCACTCAAACTGGTCTTTCTCGAAACCAGGTGGGCTCACTGCTTAAGCATTTGGTATAATAATCTTGTGTGATTGAATTGGAATGTAGCACGGTTAGGTGTTTGGTTTATCGACTTGTTTTCATGGTGTCAACAATTTGATTTCTGAATGCAGGTGTCTAACTGGTTCATAAATGCACGAGTTCGTATTTGGAAACCAATGGTCGAAGAAATACACATGCTTGAGAGCAAAGGATTGGCAGAAAGCAATCAGAGCTCTAGCAAAATTGATGCAAAATCTACAAGTTCCATTCGACCCAACGAAGACCTATCCATCAACAGCTCATGTACAAATGCAACACCGTGCAAGCAATTGGCTTGCTCAGATATGGCTGCTGTTGGGACCACGGGAGATGCACATGATGTTGAACGCTGGTATTACGAGAAACGTTCTAGTATGGATTTTCGAATCCCAACAAGCTTGGATGGTGCCATGATGAGTTTTGCACCCTACGAGCAAAGTAGGCTCGAGATGGGGGGGCTTGGAGCCGTGTCACTTACCTTGGGACTCAGGCATGGCATAGAAAGTGCACAAGTACTCCAACCACATCCGCAGCAATATCAACTGCACGAGGATCAGGATCAGCTTCGGCTGCAATTTGGCGGCGGCCAAATGGTTAACGACTTTGTCGGTTGAGCTTATTTTGGTCTTACTAAAGTTGAAATGAATAGAGCGGTGGCAGCCTAGCCTAGCTATTCCTTACAATAAGTTTTCAAAATGTGGCAAAACTGCTAATACACGGTTGCTGGCCAGCTTGAACGGATTTGTTTGTGATACTAACACAGTTGAATGAAAGAGGTGACATTTATGTGGAGAAATGGAGAGCAATCATGTTAATAAATAGTTTGTAGCACTCTATTTGTAATGCAGTTGGTTTGGATTTGTGTTGGTATTAGTACTTCAGATAATTGATGTATCCTCTTAGCATCCCAACAAGTTCATGTTCCCGATCAAGTCACCAATTCATGGCCAAATCCTATTATGTCAAGATGGGGTTTCCTCTGGTATCATGTGGTCACAGCTCTCACAAGCTGGACGGCTGTGAATGTGTTTTCTAAAATGTCCGACTGAGGCTTGGCTTCGTTAAACATGATAATTTGTGGTTTGGCAGTGTTGAAAGAGGGGTGTATTGGATTGTGACTCACTATAGCTATTGAACTTGACACTCAACTTCATTCTTTAGCCGAGTCACCAATTCACTATGCATTCTAACTTGGGAGAAATAGTTTTGTAAAGATATCATTAAGAATGCTGTTCTTGTAAATGTGGTTCCACTTATGGTGTTGCAGGTAGATGACCTGAATGAACCTTGTCAAGCTCAAGTAGATGATCTTATTGTACTACCATCATTCCTGTTATATTAGCATGCGCAACTCCTTTTTACCTACAGTGTGGCAGATTGGTTCATTGAGCTCTTATGAAATCTGAGACGCTCTTTTTTACGTTCAGTTTACCAACATTTAAATGATTGGGATTGGAGAGCTGTTAAAAGTTGGCAAAATGTCGGGGGTAATGTAAGTGTGATTTTTCAATTCTCAATACGTTCATCTGAGGATTATTTTTTCATCTACGGTGAATGATACAGTATCAATCTAAAGATGTCATGTGCTCTACGCGTCTTCAAGTTAAATATGAAGACTACATGACTATATGACGTCTTCAAATAAATTAAGAAAACTCCACAACTGCATGATTTTTTCAGGCAAATGGAGAAGATCCTAGGAGTATATGATCTCTTAAGACCAATAAAAAACCCTAATTCAAAAAATAATATGGTGGATGCCTTATATGAAAAAATAATTTAATCATAATTTAGTTTACTAAATTTATCATCCGATCAGATAATGTTCGAAGTTAACGATAAAAGAGAATAAAAACAGAAAATAATAACTCAAATCTAAATCATATAATCATGAGTACGAGAGCATCTAAACCACTAATATAAATATAATAATATTTTTAATTGAAATATTATATATAAATTCTGAACTCTAATTAGTATAAAATTTAACTGAAAATTAGTTTAATACTTTTATATTTTTAAATTAAATTCTAATTAAATATACATTTTTGGTCCACTGACACATCACAAATTGATTGCAAAATTTAAATTTTTTAAATTAAATTAAAATCAAATTGATAAAATGTATAAGTAATAAGGATTAAATGTATAATCATATTAATTTTATTAATTATCACATCAACATACCAAGATTTTAGTTTCCTTTGATATGAAGTAAAAAATTATATAGTTAAGGTTGTAGTTTACCTAGATGAAAAATCATGATTGAATTGGTTTAAATAGTAAGCAGTTTGATATTGCTCAAGTAAGGTCTTAGGTTCGAGTTATTGTGTATGCAGAAAATCTCGTTGGAAGACTCGTTCACCAAAATTAGGTTTGCGACCTGCGTCGGTCCACATTAATTAAGACGAAGCCTTGGAACGGGAAGAGAAAAAAATCATGTTTGGGTGGTTCACACGTGTTTGTTTTGGGATAAGAGTAGGGCCACAACTGAAGATTTGATTTGTGGAAAAATGATAAAAATCAGCCCATGGACGTGAGAAAGCAGTCTAACCCAAAGCCATTGATATCAATGGTTTGACAAACAGGCAGCCATGCATTCATGCAATTTCAACGCGTATTTAAAGTAACCATACATACGATACAATCAAAACCAGAATACAAGCTACACGTACAGAAGCTAATTACATTATAAACATATTTAGATGTAGAAAAACCGCATTAAACATCAAATATAACCGGTTTATTTCCCTATATATTATCGATCATCCGATTAATTTACCCACTTCCAGCTGATCCATCGCCACCAGGGTAGTTGCTGAAGTCCTCCCTAGGAATGTAATGGTGGTTGTTCACGCCGCTCTCTTCTCGATTCCCACTTTTGGCATCGTCGACCAGAAGCCTCCGACCAACGAAAATGATGTGTTCAGGCTTCGGCGAATCCACTTTTAGAACCTTTGCAGCCGAGCAGGAACTCATCATCACCAGTATTGTTAAAGCAAGAGCCAAAAGCCTCATTCTTGCACCCATTAGTTGCTTTCACCACTCTAAGAAGAACCAAATAAATGTCAGCAAACGAATCAAGTGTCTGAGCAGCAGAGCGAAACCTTGTATAAGGAGAAAAATGATAGGGTTCATGTCCCATTGATATAAAGCAACATAAATTTGGTGATGGGGTCGGCAAGATTAAGTGGGATGGCCATATTGTTCCATACAAGTTTTAAAGAATGGGTTGAAATGATGGAATTGAAAGAAACATTTTCGTCCACATTGGAATTAAGACATAAATAGGAAAATTCCACACTATGAGTGGATTCAATTGATGCATATTGCATGATGTCAAAACATTGTGATACCCAAGAAAAAAGAGGATCCCCTTGAAGGTTTTTGGAGCTCAAAAATGTTTGAGCTGATCAAGTTCAGTTGAGTCTCTTGGGTTGGAAATTGGAATATATATATATATTCCTTTCCTCCATAATTCATACGGGAATTGTAAATATCTGAATCTGTCTGTCTCAAGCTGTGCCTCTCCTTTTCTTTGATAAGTTGGGCTGTTGTGGTTTCATTAAGAGAAAGAGGTGATTACAGCTTTGGCCCATAAAGAAAATAGAATAGTCCAAATGAGCCCAATGAAACAAGGAACCCTAAGACCAAACAAAACACATTAGCAGCCACCACACTACACTCGGGCTCAGCAAGGGGTGGCCCAAACGTCTTCAACACAGTATCTAGGGATGATAATTTAATCTAAAATTGGTAAATTTCTATATGATTCAATTCGATAGAGGGAACTTTCCTTTTCTAAAAAATTAGGTTTAAATTGGGTCGGTTCAAATTCACGTAGATGATAAAACATCTCCAAAGTCCAACTCAAACCGAGAGTAATAGTATAGTTGTCATATAAATTTATAGATAATTGTTATAATAATTATTCTCTATGGGGTTTTTTAATTTGGTCGTTATTATACGTTGGGTTAGGTTGATTCAGATTTATATTTCAAAAAAACTTTTGGAAAAATTTCTCATATTATTATCCAAGAAACAGTAGAAAACTCAATGCTACAACCAATACAATTAAAAATTAACAAACAATACCCCTCTCTAAGAGGTATTAATCCCCCAAACTAAACAAAGGTTCTTGTTAACATCACTATTCTTAATGATCATCTTAAATGCCTTCACCCTAAATGGTTGTCCCTTGTTCCCATATGTAATGGGGTAAGGGGGAGGTAAGATAGTAGGCTGCCCCCAACACTAGGTTGAGAGCAGCTTCAGTAGGAGACCTCCGAATTATGAAATGCCCTCCATGAGACTCGATCCCACGACCTCAAGGTTAGGGGTGTTCATTTGGTTAAAACGGTGGCCGACCGAACCGAATTAACCATAACCGAATTAACCAAACTTGTCTTTCTTTAACCGTTAACCGAACCGAATTTTTTTTCGAACATATTAACCGAACTGAATAAATTTCGGTTAATTCGGTTAATTTCGAATTAACCGATTTTTTTTTAAAAATTTTCTAATTTATATAAAAAATTAAATATTTTTTAATTCAAAAAAGTTTATAATTAATTTAAATAATATATAATTATAAAATAAAAATTTTAGATAAATTTTTTAATTAATTAATATTGATTTAAGTTTAAAAGTTATTGGATCTTAAATTATTAATTGGGTTTTAAATGGTTTGGGCTTAGCCCATATGTTATATATAATATATTTAATATTTTTTAATTAAAAAACAGCTTACAATTAATTTAAATAATATATAATTATAAAATAAAAAATTTATATAATTTTTAATTAATTAATATTGATTTAAGTTTAAAAGTTATTAGATCTTAAATTATTAATTGGGTTTTAAATAATTTGGGTTGAGCCCATATGTTATATATAATATATATTTAATATTTAAAATTTAATTTCGGTTAATTCGATTAATTAACCGAATTCAAACCGAATTAACCGTTAACCGAATTCTAAAAATTTTATTAACCATTAACCGATCGAACTAATTCGGTAAGCGAACCGAATTAATCGAATTAATTCGGTTCGGTCGGTTAACCAAATTAGTTCGGTTATTTGAACACCCCTACTCAAGGTTAAGAACCTTGTACTCTACCAACTGAGCTAGATGGTCATTTCAAAAACCTTCACCCTAACAGTTTCTTTAATATAATTCACCATACTCTCAAAATCTCTACTAATGCCCCTAAACTGCCTATGATTTCTTTCCTCCCATATATATTATATATATTTCTCAATAGATTAAAGACTACTTCAAGAAAAATGATTTAGATTAAACTCGGATAGAAAAATATACTCTCCATGTTGTGATATATATTTCTCATGTTCGATTCAAATAAAAAGTATTATAATTTTTAGATCAAATCAAATTAACCAAAAATTCTTTCCAACTTAAACTCTATCTGTTTCAGCCACCAAATCACGAGGCAAATGTTGAAAACACTGACCACCGGGTGTTAAATTATATAGCGTCATTATATATAGACTATAAAAGAACCGAGTAAAATTCGAGTATTATTAAAGTCGATTTGACTTGAAAATTCGCGAGTCTAAAATTTTTAAACTCGACTCGAACTTGAAATCATGTGCTTAAGCTTGTAAAAGCTCAAAATGTAAAAAAAAAACTTAAACTTAATTTGATTGAAGCATCAAACTCAAACCTAAACCTTAAATACATAAAAACCTTATACTGCATTTAAAATTAATAATACATAAATGTTAATATTATTTTTGTTGTTGTGATAAATGTTAATATTATTAATATTTTTTAAAAAATTTTTAATATATTATATTTTCTAACTGCTCTTTTTGAATTGAGAATCAAGTAGTTCTTTTCGGCTCGTTAAGAGCTCGAGTCTAGGCTATTCGAATCGAATATTTATTGAGTTTTAACAAAATCGATATCAAATAGCTCGTGATCTATCTCGTCTCATTTACCTTGGTAATTTATATATATATCACTAGATGGAATCCTTTCGTTCAAACGATTATCTTTTTGTGATTTCCCTATATCACATAAAAACCATTATTTTTTCAAAGCAGATTGGTTTAGGTGCGCCAAATTTTGGTGATTTGTTAATGACTTTTAGCTTTTGCTTCCTTTTTGTAATTACACTTTGATGGGTATTTATTAATCTAATGACGTTTAGAATTTAGTTACCCATATAAAATGATGATATACATATATCCATCCAATTATAATCTAAAGCACGTGATCATAATGATTAATATTCTTTGATCCAACGGTCTATAACAACTTTGCCCCCCACCCCAAATGACGCATAATTTGGAAAACTACACCGAACAAAAGGGTGGGGGGGACCTTACCGTAAACAACAACGTTGAAGTTCCAACTTTACATTTTTACAAACGTCGCTTCAACATTTCCCAACGTATTCAGTAGCAGTAAAATCTTTAAAGCTAAGCCAAGTTTCTTCTTTTTTGCTTTCTTTCTTTAGTTTCTACCTGTTGCCAAATTGGCAAAGGTCTTGGCTTTATTTGGTTCTTATTAATTTTTGCCAAGAACACATTAATCCTAGAATGGTTGGGTAGTCATTTTCGTGTTGGCAAATGTGTAGCTTTCAGAGAGGTGGTTGATGTGTTTTTTTGTCTCTATTATCCTATTTTCTGAATGCTTATACACACATATATATATTTATATATTCAGAACATATTCAGTCTTTGTCCCTTCTTCGTATTTGTGCTGTTATATTCTCCTCATTGAAAATTTGCCAACTTTTTCTTCTTTTGTTTGTTTCCAATTTAGTTACTATTATCTCTGCTTGTTACCTTTTGTGAATATAATGAATTATCCTTTCTTTCTTATAGTTTCTCTCCGGAGTTTATGCTCGCTGGCTTCTCTTCACCTTTTCATTCTTCTCTAGTTCAATACCCAGGATTGAACTTAAACATCCTATCATTTGCTCTAGTTTGTTGCACTTCTCTTTAGTTTGGGTGATTGTTTTGGTCTAAAAGAAGTTTAATTCCAACTTATGGTGTTGTTTAAAAACAGCTTGGAGTGAATTGGCCTGTTGAATTCTGTCTAGGTAGGTGTTCATTGATGGACTTGGTGCCCCTGAAAATTTCAAATTCATGTATGGTTTAGATATTTTCTTTGTATTTTCTATTGATAATTTATTTTTCCCCTTGTAAGTTCGCCCCAGTCATAAAATAGTGCGCTGTTCTATGTATGTGTCTCTTCTACCTATTAATGCAGTTGTTTCTAGAGTGGGTGAGGGAGGGTGAAGTAAAAATCTTTGATGCCATTATATTGAAAATCAATTGGTTTCATGTAGGCCGTGTGTATTTAATAGTTGAAGTAACTATACTTTAATATCAGCTGCTAATTGGGCAAGTCTTAATGTGTTTTGCCTTTTATATTCATTGGAGGCATTTTCTTTACATTTCTTCAGTTTTTGCTGTCTTGGGACTGTAGATAGATGCTAATGAGCTTTCTGAAGTTTTTTATATGACTTGGGTAGAATTATACTGGTAGTGCTGAGTATTTTTTAACATGGTATTACTTTTTCCTTGCTAACTTGCTTTACTTGACTGCCTTAGGGGAGGGTTAAAGAATTAGAATTAGCAGCTTTAGATTTGTTGGCCAACCATGAAATGAACACCACCCATCATGATATATATCTTTTCTTTTCTGATATTCTTGCCATCATATCTAGAGTTTGGGCATTAATGGAAGGCCGTAGTTTTTACTTGGTTTGAATTTCCAGTGTTATATCATACGTGATCTTTATACCTCTGTTACGATTTCCAGCCAATCTTTTCGTATGCAAAATTATAGCATCCTTTGATTCAATTCGATTATTACCTCCTTCTTTGTTGCATGAATTCTCCACTTTTTGGCTGATTGGATGCAATTTAAGGTCAAGAAATTTGCTCGAACAGTACTCCTCTGGCTCCTAATGAAGGTTTATATATCTAATGCATATGATTTCGGAGTTTTCTCTTTTCATTGTTTGATCTGATTGTGGAATTCATTGCTTCATGTTAGTTATGCTTTTGAAATGCATTTGGTGAGTCTAATTCGATACTTGAGATTATATTTTCCAGGAAAAACTGAGGTTTCAATCTGCCATTTTGTTCACACAGACTAGAATAACTTGAGCATTTTGCATATTAAAGGGAATTAAAATCCAGATATAACTTTTTAGTCCTTTCATTGTTTTCAGTTACATTGCTTTGAATTGCGTGGATGATTTCTACTTTGTTGAAGCAGTCATGTTCTGGAAATGTACATAGGGATAACTAGGTATTATTTCAACAGCTTGGTGTTCAGATTGAAATAAATGAAGCTTGAAGTGGAAGTTGTTCTCGTGTGTCTCATTACCTTGATTTGGATTCAGCAAGGTCTTTGCTGTGAGTCTTCTCTCTCTCCCTCCCCCTCCCCCTGTTTTTTAAAATTAAAATTTGATTAGAATACCATGTTACCATGGAAGCCCTGGGTGCCGGATGCACCATAGTTTGATATATCTTGAACTATATGGCCTGCAGGCTTCAAATGGAAGGCTACTGTAACTGAGTTGTTTTTGCCTGGAGATTTCTTTAACATGCCTAAGTTTTTGTTTGTTATTTATACAATCTGCTTAGCCAAGTTTCCTTGTGATCATTTAATGACAGACGAGTTTTCCAACACATCTGGCAAAAGGAACTGGACATGCACATGCTCTTCCGTATATCCTGAAAAACAAGGCGATGTTCTTAAATCTAACTGTTCTAGATCCTGCGATTGTAGTCCAGGTGTGCAATATTCTTTTGGTAGATTTTCTTGAATCCTTAAAATACTTTCGTGTAATTTTTCTGCTATTTCTATTCCATTCAACTACTATGATGTCTCAAAAGTAGACTTGGTCGTAGTATAATCTACCCACATTAATGCACAGCTTTTGGTGTATGATCGTGTTGAATGTTTCATGCTTATGTAATGTCCGGCATTTTGTGGAGCTATTACTATCATTTTGTATCTAAAACATCGAATTGTGTGGCATCCTATGTGGCAGTTGAACCAAAAGGAGATAGGTGGACATGTATGTGTGCTACTGATGGATTCCCCAAAGTAGCAATCGACAATCATGATACTAACTGTTTTTCTGCCTGCAACTGCACTGCTGGTATTTTATTCCAACTCCAACTATACATGTTATTTTTGAAGAATTCGATAGTTCAACTGCTACATGTATCATCAACCGTACAGATTTGTCTAGCATTTCATTTCGTAATATCTTTCATCTGTGGTACTATAGCCTTTTAATCAAATAAATTGGACAGTGCCCGGATAAAAAGCATTAGGACCTTATTTAGTGGCACTTAAGTGTACATTTTGACAGGATCTCTTCCTGAGGCACCTGCGAGAAAGAACTACGCTAACAGACTTGTTGTGATCATTCTTTTACTCTGTGTGATTCTCACGACGCTAGCATTTCTTGCCTCGTTAACATGCTACTTCTACCGGAAGGACAAATGCCCAAAGTGCCCCATCCAACAGGCAGTATTCTCGTCAGATAAAGAAACTAGTTGCAACAGTGCTACCAACTTGATAAGTCACAAGACTTCATCGGCGTCAGAAACTAAGGTTGACATCAGCTTCCCTGCTAAACCTTTTGCAGGTATATAAGCTTTAACATTGTTATAAACTTGTCTTTTTTTAATGAACTTCATTTGCTTTCAATCGTGATTCGATTACAACCTCTCAGCCATTTTGATTTATTTTGTTTTTGAACCTTGCATACTGCATTCTTCATTCTGAATTCGGTTTGGACATTTCAAGCACGATGTCTTGCCTATTTTCAGGATGCTTTCAAAAGGCTTCATTCCTTTGTTGGAGCAAAACGGGGATTGTGCTTGGAACAATTTGCCAGTTTGCTTACTCTGAACTGGAAAATGCAACCAATAAGTTCTCCAATTCCAATCTAATAGGATTCGGAGGAAGTAGCTATGTGTACCGGGGCCAGCTCAAGGATGGAAGAATTGTTGCGGTCAAGCGACTTAAAATTCAAGGAGGAGGCACTGATGCAGATTCCATCTTTTCAACAGAGGTACAATCTCAACTTGCCTTTTTTTGTCTAAAGTTCTTTGATTAATGAAAACTCCCATTATGTTCCATCTTTTTTACTGATGTTCTCAAAAGGCAATGAGGTATTTTACAGTGTTGTTTTGCGTAGGTCGAGCTGTTGTCAAGGCTACATCACTGTCACGTGGTGCCCTTGCTTGGTTACTGTTCGGAATTCAGTGGGAAACATGCCGAGAGACTGCTGGTATTCCAATACATGCCTAATGGTAATTTGAGGGATTGCTTGGATGGAATTTCGGGTGAGGCCATGTCCTGGGAAACTCGTGTCGCGATTGCTATTGGTGCTGCAAGGGGATTGGAATATCTCCATGAAGCTGCTGCTCCTAGAATTTTGCATAGAGATGTAAAATCTACAAATATTCTTCTGGACAAGAACTGGAGAGCTAAAGTAGGGATGGTTTCTTTTAGAAATCTAACATACGTTAATTTCTCACCTGTTGGTTTACATATTGATTTCTAACATAAGTAGTGAATATGTTCAGATAACTGATCTCGGTATGGCCAAGTGTTTAAGAGCCGATGGACTTCCCAGCTGTTCGAGTTCTCCAGCAAGAATGCAAGGAACCTTTGGGTATTTTGCCCCAGAATATGCAATGGTTGGAAAAGCCTCGCCTATGTCGGATGTTTTTAGTTTTGGTGTAGTTCTTCTGGAACTGATCACTGGTCGGCAACCAATCCACAAATCGAACAATAGAGAAGAAAGTCTTGTTATCTGGGTAAAGTAGCCATTTCATGTTACTATATCTCCTCTTTTTAATGCAACTAAAGTATATCCAATATCCATGCTGGTTGATTTGATTCTTAAAACATTTGTCATTACTTTGTCCCATTCAGGCTACCCCTCGTTTACAGGATAGTAACAGAGTGACCTCAGAGTTACCCGACTCGCGTTTAAAAGGGAATTTTCCGGATGAAGAGATGCAGGTAATGGCTTACCTAGCAAAGGAGTGCTTGCTGTTGGACCCCGATGCTCGACCAACGATGAGTGAGGTTGTGCAAATCCTATCGACTATTGCATCAGATAAATTGAAAAGAAGAAATAATCCTGTAAACTTTTATCAGGTAATGCTGTTAAATCCATTTAGAAGTTGATCATCACATAACAATCTCGAGACCAAAATAGTAGAGTTTTAACAATGGTATGCAGTACCATTTAATGGAACTACTGGTTTCACTCCAATGATATAGGGTTGCCACTGGCCAATAATGTTGCATGCTTTGTTAACTGCGCAGATGCCATCCGCCCATAACATGAAGAATGAAGCTCTTCTCGAAAGACATCAAAACGTTATCGAGGATTCATACAACGCAGAGGAACACATGCCAACTAAATCGAAGTCAGCAGAGAGCTCACTGCCATGCCCATCAGGCATGAATGATACTGAAATCGTCAGAAAACAAATAGAAACCCTTCCTGCTGAGTGTATGGAAAGGCTGGTTCTTTTGAGTTCCAATGCTCGGAGTTCACATGGCATTGATGATGAAGCAGTAGACTTAACAGAGCCTCGGTTCGAATCATTCCGAATGGTGAACATTAAGTCTCTGCAAGAAGAACAATCAAGGTGCCCAGATTAACACATTTTGCACCCAACTTTTCCTTGTATGCTGTAAAGAAAGAACATTATAGAGGAAATAAGTAGGTTTCTTTTAGAAGTATCCATTCTACACTTTAGTTGACATATGAATTCTTAGAAAGTAACTTAGTTGATGAAAAGCCAAACCAGAAAACACACAAATTATAAACGTCAAAGTGTGAGCTCATCTAATTATTATCATCAAACTTTAGGTGATCATATTATTATAGATCTTATATTTTTTTCCTTCAGTTCCAAGGGTTCGACTTGGTTAATTTAGACTGACCCGGGTCGCACATTTGGTTTTGGTGGGCGAGTCTCCCAGCGGAGATTTTATGCATATATAAAGACTCGAACCTGAGACCTTGCTTAAACTATATCAAATTGCTTACCACTTGAATCAACCCGTCAATTACTTCTTACACTTTGAATGCAGCAATTTCTTCCCCTTCCCAAATGGGACATCAACAAAAGTTTTCCTTGTTTTGTTAGGCAATTTTGCTTCTTCTTCTTCTTCTTCTTCTTACTTTTACCTATAAATTAATGTTATACAACCAATAAAGACATCTTCTATATATTATTATACAAACAATAAAGTAGACAAGTTGGAGTAAAAAAAACGTGTCATAACCATTTTTTTTAAACAATTAATTATTATTAATTATTATTTTATTATTATTATTATTTTTTTAAAATAATTATGACTTTAATTTGGAAAAATTAGTGATTTTGAATAGATTTGAATAAAATTGAAAAGAGTCGCCATCGACCTTTGGGTTAGGTAGGTCAAATACCTAAAAACGTCTTTTAAAATAATTTTAAGAAAAATAATTTTATAAGACAAAAATTTGGTCTACGTTACCAAAGATTAATTTAAAACAGGTTCGGGAGTCGGTTACGTGTGGGGAAGGGTAAACACCCCACAACGCCCAAAATTGGTACTGTGTAGTTTACTCATCGTCGTAAATGGTGGAAATTACAATTTGAATATGAAGTAAAAATATGATCTATTTATTGAATATTTGTTAAAATAATAGAAATACTTCACTTGGTAAGAAATCTCAAGATTTGCAATCCTCCAACGGGAAAGCTACCTCATCTATTTCTTATCTATAAAGTATATCCTATCTTTGAATTACCACTAAATAATATCGTCATGAGTAAAAAATAAAATATGCTTAATTTATGTATCGCTAATATTAACATAACAACCATTAATACAATAAAAATTATGAAAATAGAATAATAAATAAATTATGATCTATTTATTGAAAATTAGTTAAAATAAATAAAAAAAATCCTTTTCTCGATAAGAAATCCCGAGATTTGCAATCCTCCGCCGGGAAAGCTACCTCGTCTATTCTTACTTGTAAAGAATATTCTCTCATCATTTATTTAAAAATGTGTATCGAATATAAAAATGAAAATTTAAAATTTACATTTTCATAAAATAAAGTGAGCATCACTTAAGGTACCACACATTTTAATAAATTAATTAGTAAAATATATTCGACTTATTTCAAGTTCCTATGTCGCTAAAATGACGTACCGGATCGCACCACTTCGACCAAGTAGTACTTTCCACGCTCATTCTACGCATACGTGTTCTTGAAAATAAAATCAGATATAATGAAAATAAATGCAATTGGAAATATAAACATTTACATTAAATAGAATTAAACACATTACTTACATAATACAAATAACCATAAAATATGTAAAATACATTCATACATAAATAACTAAAATAAAGCTAAGTTAACATTACAAAACAAAATACAAACCAAATAAGCACATATGATAATTTCAGGGACCAAAATGACGTTTAACCAAGCTTGAAGGGCTAAAATAACAACAAAAAAATTTTTTTAAGGACCAAAATACAAATACAGAAGTTTAAAGGGCTAAAATCGAAGAAACATAAGTTAAAGAACTAAACTGAAATTACACAAAAACATGAAGGATAAAAAAAATATTTAAACCAAATGCCAAAACAGTGACTAAAACAGAAGATGCATAAATCTGAGGGCCAAATTCGAACATCAGCTAAAATCACACAACACATGCCAATAAGGACTAAAACGAACATTATACACAATAAGCAACCAAAAATTTAAACACTTAGAAAATAGAATACTAATCATATAGGATTAAAATGAAACACGAAATAAATAAAGAACCCAAAATAGAAATATGAAATTTCATTAAGGATCAAATTACAAACGTTACAAAGCTAAAGGAATTTAAACTGTAATTATCAAAAAAAAAAAAACAAAACACGGAAGAAGTTATGAGGACCCATACTGTCATTATCCCCTTTTAACCCAGCATTCGACCCTCCCCTGTCTCAGAACGACGTCGTTTGACGTCTGAGATATACCCTTTAAGGGTTATTATGAAACCCTAAAATCATTTTATAACTCCCCCCTCATCAGCCGTTTCACTCTTTCTTCTCTCCCTTCTCATATCTTCATCTTCCTTCGCCCAAAAAACAGAGGCCCTAACTCCCCGGCCACCGTAGAACGGTGGCCACGGGGAGTAACCCAAACCCAGAGAAGGTTCTCTACAACCTTAGATCTACCCACTACACTGACCTAATACCCAGATAAACCCTTTGAGTTCGAACCCAACAAGCCCCAAAAAAAAAAGACAAGTTTCTTTTACCTTCGGTGAGGGGCGCTTGGCTCCGATGAAGCAACGGTGGTGGTCAAAAACCAGGGTAAGATTCTTACTCTATCTTTCTTTCTTTTTTCGAATGGATGTTTCCTTTTTTTTTTCTTTCGTTTCCCTTGCCTTTTTATGTTTTTTTTTTCTGGTGAGATGATGATATCTAGAAAAAATAGGAGATGGGTCTCACTGATTTTGCATGATTACATCCCGATTTTTCGGGATTTAATCTGTTTTTAAATGGATTCTCGGGCTTAGGCTACTGTTATTTGACTTGGTTACTGTTTTTACAGGAACCGGTCACTGTTCATGCAGGAGAACAGTCGGCGACGACGGGACATCTCGGCTTGGTGGCTCGGGTTGGCTCGACAGCAACTCACGCGGCTCAGGAATGACTGGTGAAGATCAACGTGCGGCTGGGATTGGAATCTGGCTTGAGCGGCGGCTGTGTAGTTAGGGGATTAGGGTTGAGACCCTAAATTATTTTAGGGTTTGAAACCCTAATCTGATTTAGGGTTTGAAACCCTAAATTGTTTTAGGGTTTGAAACCCTAATCTGATGGGTTGGTTCAGTCTGAGTTGTTGGGCTCCGGGATTGGGCTTGTCACTTGCAATCTGGGCTTTGGGTTGGCTGCTGATTTGGCCTTGGGTGTGTAATTGGGCCTGTACAAAATTTGTAATATATAATTTAATAATAATAATAATAATAATAATAATAAATAAAATTAAATAATATAAAAAAGACCCGGACAGAAACGGGTGTCTACAAAACGAATTTACCTGTAAAAGAGAGACAGTTATAAGTAATATACATGTTCCATACATAACAAGAAACAAAATTGGAAAGTTGGTCGAGTCCCACATTTCTCAGCCAACACCAATGGGCCCATTGCCTTCTTTTTATCAAACTTCAAGCCATTGCTTTCTATATGGGCTAAGTCATTAGCCATGGACCCACTTTGACTTCTGGCCTTGCCTACCTACAAAATTCTTACACTTTTGAAGTTTTAATTGAATGTTTGAAAAATGAGTTGGAAACTTGAGTATTCCAAGGTAAGCAAGTGGTAAGAAAAACAAAATAGACAATGATTTAAGAAAAAAAAGTAGTTGTGATTTTACTTCTTTTTTTCAATTTTAAATTTTGACTGATAGGGTTGCACATTTAATTTTGGTGGGTTGAGTATGTAACAATTCAAATATAAAAAGGGTAAACTACTCCAATAGTCACTAATGTTTGGGTAAATTTTTGTTTTCACCACTGATATTTTAAAATTCACAAATCGGTCTCTAGCACTATCGTTTGTTGCAAATTGGTCACTCGCCGTTAACAGGCGTAACGGAAAACACACGTGGATTGTTAACAACTGTTAACATACTTACTTGTATGGTATAATTACACAAATAGTCCATGTTATTTATATATTCTTTCAATTTGATCCTAGTTTTAATAAATTAAAATATATTTATTTTTAATTCTTATAAATAATGATATATTTTTATACAAAATAATTAAATGTTTAAGTCCAATGGCTTTAAAATATGAAACAAAATCATCAACAACTTCCAACAATTTTATTAATATTATTCTTAACGATCAATTATTTTAATTGTTATTGTAAATTGTTATATTTATCATGTTTTTTAAATAATTTTTTGACATTATTTTTATTTAATTTATATTTTCATTTGTTGAAGATGATTGCAAGTTAAAACATAATCATACCCGTTTCGATTAGATTTTAAATATAATAAAGAATATATAATTATTGAATATAACAATTTATTTGTTTTAAATATGATTAAGATGTTGCATTTTAATAATTTTTGAGGCATGATATGAGCGGTTGTCGCCGCGCAAGAGACGATGGATGAGGGAAAGAGTTTTGAGGGCGACAAGGCGGTCTCGGGTCTTGCAGAGCCAACGTGAAATCCTTTCAGCCAGAAAAGGGATCGATCCCGGAGAATTCGAGACGAGGAAGAGGATTTCTGCATGTACTTATCTTCTATCGGACCGTTATCGTGGTCGGTGGCTCGGAGGGCGGCGATGTCTATATCGGAAAAGGCTTTGCCGTCGTGGTTGGATATCATGGCCTTGCCGATGGATGCATGGTCCTTCATTGACCCAAGAGCTAGGCGGAGCTTGGTCTGTATGTCTACCCCCATTTCTTTTTGTTTTATTTGATTCATATTAAGCTTGGCAAGAGGCAGATTATATATATAGAAAAGAAGCAAATTTGTTTGAAAAATCAATATGCAATGAGGAATAGAAAATATATACACAGAAACAAAATACTGCACCTCTATGCATGATTTTCTTGCTTTTAATATCAAACATAAATTAATGATAAATATTTTCTCCGAATATTTTTATCTTAT